GGGAGCTTGCAGAAGAATGAACTAAAGTAACCTTAACAAAGCCACAGCCTCTGAGTGAGTGAGCTGTGCAAGTTGAGATGACTTTCCCTTTATCATCAGTGCATCAAAACTTTTCCTGCACAAATGTCAAGTCAAGTGTTTTTTATGGGGGGAGCACAAGTAGTAATTTTAAAAGGTTACACTGAAGATGCATCAGTTTTTTTTTTCTGCACATCGTGGGAAAGAACATTGTGTTTCCATGTGCAACAAGCATGTGTGGATGTTGTTGCTCAAACACTAACTCCACGCTGATTATTCTGATTATAAGCAGCGAGAAAGAAGCAACAACTTCTAGTGCAAAGTAGCATCAACCCCCTCGTGTTTATTTACTGTGATGAGACACAAACAAACAAGATAAAGTTGAATTGAATATTTTTAAGTTGAGTAAAAACAGCCTCCTCGCTGCTGCACAGGCTGACAACGTGTTTCTTTAGAATGCAGCCAGATAATAAATAATCGTGACGTGTTTCTCTCACCTTATTCAGACAGTCTTCACCGTTCGCCTTTGCATCAACTTCCACTTCCATCACCACCGAATCCGGACGAGTAACGTGGCAGAGCATTTTATTTCACCTTTCCCCGTGTCCTCTGTCTGTCTTTGGTGTTGTTCGCCACTCTACAACAATTCTCGAGCCTTCTTCAATTAAAAAAAATAAAAAACCAGCAGCCCCTACATGGATCCCTCGTCACTTTCTCACTCTTTCCCTCCGTGTGGCGAATCTGCGGCCACCAGCTGTAGCCTATATCAATGAAATGCCTCGTCGGCGCCGCCCCCTCGACAGCGGACCAATCGGCGCCGAGGTTTTGTAATGGCTGCTGCGTGTGAGCCAATGAGAAGTCGCGTTACATGTTCTCCGCTCACAGCTCGCGGTCTGGGGAAGCGTGAGTGAGTCCACAGCGCCCCCCTGCGGTCCACCTGTCCCCCCCCCCCCACACCTCACCTGCACAGACATGGTGGGAAGCTTCCGGCAGAACCTCGGGCTGAGTTTAATGGCGCCTCCTCGGTGAGTGTGAATAATGGATGACTGTTCCACAAATAGGAGCGATAGGGGCAAAACGTTCCGCCCTGCGAGTCTGCAGCTTCTGTCCAAAGCTCGTGTGAATGTTTCATGTCGGCAGCCGTGTTGTTGTTTGTCTGACCTGTGGTGCTGGAGTAAAGTCAAGTTACACCTGAACCTACTCTGTGTGTCACTGAACACATTTAAACATTATCATCAAACACCTTTTAAAATGACAATATGACAGATAACACTGGACTCTGCTGAAATGTTTCACTAATACTTCCACACTTCCTGTTCATGTTGATATCTTTCTATCTATCAGTCTATATATCTGTCTGTCTGTATATATATATGAACTCATACTATATCTATATATCTATCTCTATCTGTATATCTATCTATCTGTATATCTATCTATCTGTAAATCTATATATCTTTAAATCTATCATCTATCTATCTCATCCATCCACCTCTATATCAATCTCTATGTCTGTCTATCTGTATATCAGTCTAGCCATCTCTCTATCTGTATATCTATGTATGTATATATCTATAAAACAAACATGAGGAATATCCAGGGAACTAAAAAGTTTTTTCAGTTCCTTCCCTGGTGATAATAAGTCGAAGCTTCTTCCTCCCAGTATCCCCCTTCACTCACTTTTAGAAAGTTTTAATAATTCAGTGTTTATTCAACTACTTCCACAACACATACTATTCTATGATGCATTATTCAACAACAAAATGTTGTAATTTCCACAGAGAGGGACGGCCCAGGCTAAAAGAGCAGCCACACGCTCTCATAGTTTCTCACTATAGGGGGACATAGTGTTACGCCAAGCTCTGCATTTATCAGCCAGGGGACATTTTAGGTTAGAGGCAGTGTCTCCACATATTTTTTTGCTCTCTCTCTCTCTCTCTCTCTCCCACCACTGCATTCCTGACGTAGCACCGATGACTCAGATACAACAGGACCCAGGGGGAGCTCCCTTTTCCGCTATTGTATTAAAAGCTTTTTACATAGAATGGAAGTGGGACGAGGCTCTGTTGTACATGCTGCACATGCAAAGCAATCGGAAGATATGAGCCTTTCATGGACATATTGGTATCATTTTTTGTATTTGCAATATGCACCCTTATGAAAACTTTTACTTTGGAGTTAGCTAAGCAGAAAAGATGTGCGTTTTTTACATGTACGAAGATCAACACTTGTTTTCTTGATTCAAGTTCTATACAGATGGTTGCATTTGTTTTCTTTGTATTTCTAGTAACTTAGAGAGATACAAAGAAATGTTTAAACTGTAGAATATCAAGCCTCAATTACATTGATTTGTCATAAGGGTTTGTTAATGACATTGTTAATGACATCTTAGAAATCCAATTTTCTTATCAGCCAGTATATCAGTATCAGTCAACTTTCCCTCCCTAATATCAGTATTGTAATTGGCCCCTAAAAATCAATTCCATTGGAACTCTGATCAATACAGTGACATTCTCTTGGTGTCAGTGACTTCCAACGTCCCTCACACAAAATCTGACTCAACAGATTTCATCAGCTCTGAGGGTTACGTATTTATTTCTCTGTGTGTGTGATAAGGTCAATCACTTTGGAGTCAGCAGTGGTTATTGTCCTTTTGCCCTGAAGTGATGTAACAAGGTGCGCACTGAATGAACAGAGGGACGGGTTATATAAGCGGCCGCCACAGCCATAAAAGGAGAAGCAGAGCAGATAGTGGGTGATCAAACATCTGGACAGGAGGTACTCACCGAGGTGATGACACACACACACACGTACACTCATGTCCTGCACGTACAAAGTTCCTGCAGGCTGGTGGGAGTCTGTTTTTGGTTTTACAGGTATTTGCAAATTTTTTGGGTGCAACTTTGTACTCAAAGAACATTTTACTGAAAGTAAAATACCAATGCAATACAAAGAGATAAATAATTGGATCAAGATGAGCACAGGGGAAAAACAAAATGTATCTATTAAGACTCCCCCTTGTGCACATCTAGGTCAATTTTGGGGGTAGGGCATCTTTTTTTTTTTTTGCCATCTGGGCTCTCGCACAGACAGACTATTTGCAGACACATGGTTCGCGGCTAGGTATGACATCATGCAATGTGACATCACTTCCCTCTGAGGCAAGTCACAGCTCATCGACTGGAGCGTGAACACACACCCATGTAGAGGATTCTGCATGTGTGCACGCGCGTGTATGTGGGCACATGACATCACAGCGTCATCACTGCCCATCTCCCCAGCCAAAGCTGTGCCTCTTGAAGCAGAGATTATGTCAGAAATTGCCATGCTAGCAGAGCGGCTGTTGTTGTTTTCGTTGTAGCCTCGATTACGTTCTTTTTATCTCTGTCAATCTGAAAGAAGAGCAGCACTGGACGGCTGAGACATTAAGCCAAAGGAGTGGATTTGAGTGCCCAAGTATGAGTAAAGGCCAGAGGGCGAGCAGCTCCTCTGAGTCTGAAGAGAGTCAACGACCATGGTTAACCGATTCCGAAGAACAGTCGTCACCGTCTGGATGTTCATCAGGTGAAGATTCGTTGTCAGATTCAGATACGGAGGCAGAGAGTGCGATGAAGAGGAGTCAGAGGTTCAGTAGTTCTTTCAGTTTTGGGGAGGATCCACAGCTACAGCCAGAAAGGAACGAGGACGGGGAAGAAGAACCGTCAACAGAGAACTCTAAGGGAGAACCTGTGACAGAGCAGGTGGCGACAGAATCAGCAGCAGAATGCGTGCAATTTGAGAAACAGGACAACAGTGATACAAATGAAACACAAAGATCAGGTTTGTTCAGGCCTCAAAAGTTATGGCTGGCGATGACAAGGTGCCTCTCCCTCCGATGGCCTCCTTGTCTGTCCATCAACAGACAAAGTAACAGGAAATTAGCCTATCAATTGGACTTCGACCAATCAGAGGACACGCAGTTGTCTTCCACCTCAGAATCAACCAATCAGAGCTCTTCAAGCACATCCACCTCGGAGGACAGGGAAGTGACATTAGTGAAACATCGCGAAGAGGAAGTCAGATGCAGAGGGGTTAAGAGCATTCCACCCCCTCGTCGCTGGGTTTCACGTTCCTCCCCCAGGTTGCCACGAGCCAGACAAGTTACAGACTCAGTGTTGGCATCTCTGATCTTAGAGAAAGAAATGTTCCTGAGGATCGAGCTGGTGGATTCGGGCGAGGAGAGGGATGATTTACGATACCGGGCAGAATGGAAGCTGTCAGAGAGAACTAAGGAACTGGCAGAGGGTGTGTGGCTGTCCCGAAGCCAAAAAAAAAAAGAAATGATGGATTGACTTGTAGAGTTTGAGGTGTGGTTGCCTTTGAGCAGACTTTATATCATGACACCCATGAAGTTAGATTGGTTACTGTAGCCATTATTAGGTTGGTTATTGCAATCATCAAATCTTCGTTAGTGTGACTACTGATTCAACATGGCCCAGATATCAGTGAATAACCAATAATGTTGGTTTTGCAAGATGGCTGTGTAAACTGCAGTGTGCTGATGCAGATACAGTGAATGTAGCTAACTAATTGCAGAGGCTATTTTCAGAAACGCAGGAGTGTTGATGGTTATTTTTCCGCCTCTCTGTGTCTCTAGGAGAACGTTTCATGCATGGCTACCTCTATGTGTTGGAGGCAAGGGAGACACAGAATATGTCATGCGATTATGAATAAAGGGTTTTTTGCAATTCCGGTTTCATTTTGCTTTTTTAAGAAAATGAATTCTGTAGCAAGTGAAGCAATATGTTTGTATAAAGATACTGAGGAGATTTGGCGCACATTAGTTATAGCTAAGTGTGGTTGATGTCTTCGGGGAGTGTGAGTAAGAATATGATGTTCAGGATGTGTGTCAGAGTAACTACATTTTCTAAGTAATTTATCCCTTAATTCACAGGATTGTTTTTCACAAAAGCCCCAAATTTGAACAGCCTTTGCAGAGTGGCTGAACAATAAAGATGTTACATGACAAGTGTTCTCATTATTGCTGCTTTTCCTAATAGAAGCATCCCTCATGTTAATGTGCATAAAGCTGGCAGCTATTTTTAACATGCATGCACAACTTTTTTTACATGATCATAATAATGGGTCTGACAAGGGATGTGTACTGCTGTATATGTGAAGCCTCTAGAATCAGTACTATTACTCACTGTGCTGCTATACTTCTAGAATTTCAAGAATGCAAATTGCTGGTTTGTGTGTCTTTTTATTTTTTTAAAGCTGTTTAAGTTCCTCTCCAGCAGCTTATTACACCCTAAATACACTGTACACTTAGTTCCTCAAAATGACATATTCAAAATTCCCCTCCTGTTTTTAACATGGATCCATGCCTCTGTTACCTCACCCTCCGTTTTAAAGACACTCTGAAATGTATGGGTTGCTTGCCATGTTTTAATTTATACTTCACTTACATCCTCATCATATCCAACTCTTGTAGTCCACCATGCAAATTGAATAATTTAACATAACACAACAAATTGTTCTGTCACTGGAACAATTATTCTGTTTTCTCATCTGTGTGGCTGATTATTGTAATGGTACAAAAATGGAGCATATTTGCGTTTAGGAGCTGAAAATATGAAGTGTTGGGGAAATGGAGGAGTATGAAAAATGAATAGAATGGAGTTGGAATTGAAAACACAAGCTCGTTTTTTTTACTTTTAGTTTTACTCAGTCATCAATAATGTTGTCTGTGCTGCGTACCCGTGTAAATGTGGTGCTTCTGATGTAGGTGTTCTGCTGACAAA